ACTAGGATAAATAGATTACTAATAATTAAAAAATTAAAACAAGGAATTAGCATTTTAAGAACTGAATGTAAGAAAGAGGATGTTAAATCGTTTAATATTACAAGAAAGCGAATGAAATTGGATTTAACGTGTGACATTTTTGTAATAGATAACATGAAATCCAGCCGTTTCTTACCTGCTATATGGAAGCAACAAAAATGACTACGCAGGTTCGGGCGAGCCAAGGGGCTTAAGTACCCGGCCGTGGGGTGGATGAGGGTAATGGCCTGGGTGTGGTGCGCTGTCTACTGTGCCCCCCCCCCCTGAAGAGTGCGGTATGGGGGTGGTGTCTGATAATAATTTTAGAAGAGTTAATGCTTTATGTTTTCTTTCAGTAAATTATCATTTAAATGAATATGAAAGTTTACGAAAGTTAATCTGGTGCGATATTGATTGTTTATTTCCAGTATCAGTGTGTGGATTGAATGTATCGTGTATGAATTGAATAACCGTATGTCAAACTTCTAATCCGCGGAGCTACCCACCCGTGCGTTAAAGTACTTTCCGCCTCACGCTCTTAGTGAAGTGAGGTTTGAGTGAGTTTTGCTCAATACCAGCAATGCCGTTGCCTCTGCAGCGACACTTACCCGTAAGTCCTAGGTTCGAGTCCGGAGGGTGGCGAATTTCCGGCTGTAGCCGTACAGCTGGGTGGAATTCAGCCGCGAAATGGAGTTCGCGGCAGGCTACTCCGTTCGATTGTTTTACGAGGTTTCTCCGAACAATGCCAGGCGAGTGCCGGAAAGGTTCCCTAACAATCGGGCAACGAATCGTGCGCGATCTTTCCTTCCTCGTCGTGGTCCGATCCCCACCCCTTACTTACACTTACACGCACTACACTACCACCCATGTGAAGCTCATCGAAAATGCTTCTTGCATTTTTTGTATAGTGCACTTCACTGATGCGTTTTGCGTATACCGAGAAGTGAGGTTCTAAACGGTTTTTTTAACGTAGAATATTCGAAAATGAGCTAGACAAAAAACAATTCGAAGAAAAAATAATTTGCTCCTATCATAACTTCTCCTCCCAAATGTCAAGTGTTTGTGACAGCTGGTGGTTTTATTATTTTTTCCTTCCAAGTACTTCCAACGGGTAGAATAGGTTGGGTAAAGGCTACTAAAAAAACTACTAAAAAAATAATGTTTTGTGTGCTATTTAAAAATGTGATCTTTTACTATGTTTTCAGATTTCAAATAAAATACGTAAGAAAAAACGATATGATAAACAAAACAAATTCTATAAATTATCAATCATTTTCTGTTTTTTTCTATTTTGTTTTGTAGTACTTTCTTTGATATGTTGTACTCTGATATCTGTTTTATTGAAAGGAAATACAGTTTTCAACTTTGGATGGGTTTGAATGTTTTCAGGTGTCAGTTATACATTATAAAATAAGGGTTGAGGAAAGAACATTCGAGATATCTAACACTTAGACTGCATAAAAAGATGTGTTGAAGACGTACGAAGATTAAAACATGTTTTGAAACATCGAGTAAGGGATAGAGAGTCACAGTTTTGCGAACGTTTTCTTTCTCCAACTGCAACACCTGGAGTGCATACGTCATATCTTCGACCGCCAATTCTGACATATTCGTTATATCCTCTTAGCCGGATTTTCTTTACAAAGCGCCTCGCGTTTTACAGTACGAACAAGGTCGCAATCCAGTTCGCTGGGGCTTTCACACATTGGCGTCCCATTGGCTGCTGCCTGATCTCTATCGATTCTAATTCGCTGTGGTTTTGTCGAATCACGGTGGCCCGATCCTACGTCAAGCGTTGAATCACCCTTTGTGTTGCACCCGAATGAATCCACTGTGCCTAACGCCTGATTCGCCGAGGTCACATAAATTACGCGCATAATCTACGAATCTCTACCTAATGGATGGATTTGCATAATGCATGAGGTAAAATTATCTAAAACTCAAAGAAGGGATAACAGAGACATCTCTCTGAATGAGGCGTTAGGGTGTATATATGTGTAAGTGATGTTATGAATGAAATTGCTGTTATTGCCTTTATGAAAAGGATGATAGCTCTGTCTTCATTACATGTATTTTAAGAACGCACAGAACTCGCTGTGACAATTAACATTGTGATGTTATAAATTGTGCTAGTCGTTTTGTGTAAAATCATAATATATTTCATTTCGCTCTGAAACGCTAAACATTACAAGGCCTTCCGCCTTGTATGCAGTTTATTCGTAATGTCTGTTACGAAACGGACAGTTGCGCTATGCAGAGCGGTGTAAGGTTCATTTACAATTAAACGGAAACAAAAAGCCTCTTTTAAAAGGCGTCATCGGTTGATGAGCCATCATCATAAGGTTCTATATCTATTATCAGGTTTGAGGTCGGTGTATCTCCATTGCGTCGGGTCTTTGCCTTGTTTTTCGTTTATTTTTCTTTCACCTGTCGTTCACGGTCCAACATCAAGTATCTTAGATGATGTCGTAGATGTGCTATTAACTTTAACATTCTATTTTTTCTTACGAAACTTCAGACTTTACTAATATAATTTTCAACTATGAAACGTACATTTATTATGTTATAGTCTTCTTATTGCTATTGTAATATCAAAATTAATTGAGTACGTATTGTGTTTATCGTGTTGAAAGAGATCATGATACGCATAAACATTTTAATTTTTTAAAACCGCAATTACCAAAATTATCAGAGGATTGCAGTTTCCTGAATTGTTATAAAAGTTTTGACGTACCTTTTCTTTTGTATTCTGGTACGATGTTAAAGTTTGATGTAGAAATCAAATTAACACAAGTTTCACAAGCGTTCCGTAGAGTTTTCATTGAAACCTTCACACAATGCAGTGACCTTTCGGTGAACTCTGCTGCCCTCTGCCCCCAACAGATGGCATTGTTTTTGCCACCGACGTGCTCCCAGAGTTTATCCGAGCTCCCATTCAAACTTGAGAACGAAAACCTCAGCCTGGCGTTCCGTCCTTTTAACTACGTCGGGTAACAAAAGTTCGATTACGGCTCATCGGTTTATCTCCGGTTACCTACTACATCGCCATCCCTTGGCTTATTCTATTTATTGATTTCGGGCGCGTCAACTGCTAAGGTCATTAGTCCTGTAAGTGTAGTGCATGCTTTTCCCCTCCGGAGGTGGCGATGATCTTCCCCTGGTAGATGATGAGATTCGGCTGTCACCTACACGGCGACTGGCGGTGTTTCCCCATCTCGGTATCTCCCTCCATCGGGGTCTTGCCGGGACACGCTCTGAGCTCTGTGTAGTGCACAGGAGTGGGGGGGGGCAAGGAAGAGGAAGAAAAAATCACGCGCGGCCTCTATCCCGTTTGTTTGGGTTACTGCACCGGAAAACGTCTGGTGCTTAACGGAGAAATCATAAAAAACTACTGATCAGAGCAAGCGGTGTCTAGAATGCTCTTCGAGGCTCTACCTAGCTTCCCCACTAGTGTGGAAAATTCTGCCACGTTATGGACTCGAATCCTATGGCCTCCACGTCGTAGTGACATGGGTAGCCCTGAGCCACCTAAACCGATGCTTTCCTCGGTGAAGGGATGTGCAGCAGAGTGAAGAGATGCGAAATTGAATAGTCCAGGTTCGAATCCTACTTAAAACGCAATTTACGTCGCGGCAGTCACGTGGTCGACGGTCCGCCATTCAGCGACCGCTAGTCAGGAACACGTTTTAACGCAGAGTTCGTGTACCTACCAAACAACAGTGCAAGATGAGTTGTGTACCAATTAGCGGTATGTGTGTCATGTGTAACTAAGTCAGGGGTGTCCAACTTGCAAGGCATCAAGGGCCACAACTATAACCTATAACATGGTTGCCCGCCCTATTTACAGTACTGGGGCGTTCCACACCTGCGTTGCTCGTATTGTCGATCTCAGCAGTTAGCGCCACTGCTCTCAAACGGGAGGGGGAATGTGGAAAATTGGTTCTACGCGTAACAACAGTACCATACATATAATACATTGGCAAGATTTTGAATAGCAGAATTTAATAAAAATAAAATAAATTTAAACAACCCATTTAAAAGAGGTGTTGACCCCGACAGGGCCAGTGAGCTAGGCACGCAATGTTCTCACAATGATAGGCTATCGCTGCGTGACAATTATATTGAACAACTGTTAACTTTTTTGTTTATGTTGTTTATGTATTGTTTGTTTTTGTATTGTTATTTTTATTTTGTTTGTTTCTACGGCACTACTGCCTTAACGATCTCGGCCATCCGAACCGGCTAACTGTTAACTTCAATATCTCTTTAGAATGGAACTGTTTATGGGGATGGGAATTGAAAATTTATTGCTTTCCGAGGTGGCCTGATAGATGCTGTGTATGTTGTATATTCATAACTTGGAACTGTCTGCATACGACGTGTCAATCTCTGTGACTTTTTTATTTCTTTCTGGACGCTCGAAATTTTCCAGACTTGTTTTCGTTTTAGAAATGGCTTTGTTTAGTCATTCTAGTGCGGGGAAATCGCAACCATAATACAGCTCTGCGACAGCGAGAATTAAAGGAGAAACTAATAGAGCCGAAATTAAGCAGAGCCTTTACTGAAAACGGGGCCTTGGAATTTATGAGCTCTTATTAGTCAGGGTAGAAAGTAACTATCGCGAACAGCCATTCAGCCCAGTGCCCACAATGGAATACACACACACACTTATTCACTTACACACACTCGTTCACACACTGTAATTTTCCAAAATCACAAAGATGCGAACATGCTCCATTCATGCAGATCGGCTTTGCAAGTACTTATACGCCCACAAAACAGCATGGATCCGTATATTACAGTCAATGACTCGTTCATTTGAGCTGAATTTTTTCGTCGTTTCCATTGTTTACGTCACATAAAAGCTTAACAATGATCGGTTAGTTTATTTCGCACGAGCTGTAACTGGTGGAAGATGGAGAGAAATTGTAATGAAATATGAAAAATCGGAAAAGATGGGGGGAAGTGTGCAGAAGTAGGAAATGATAATAGGAATGAGTCTGTTTGGTAATAGCCTGTTTGAGGTAAGGATGCTTAGGTAGTATTCAATCTAGAAGGATGTAGATGTGGAATACGAATGCAAAATGCGTAGTTTATGGAGGAGATAAATTCGATCTCAATAAATGAGTACCACATAATGGAAATCAAGTGTGAAGTAGAGACTTACTGTCACTAATTTTCAAATTCATTTCTGCGTGAAATATTACTGCAAACACAGTCTTTGTTCACTTTCATCAATTGAAATCACAGGCTCTGCAGACTTCTTTTCCGTTATGGGGTAGGTACATTATTGAGCAGATTACTCATCGCTTTTTTATTACATACTGTAAATTATAATTTTATATTATAGTATTATTTTTTTCGATTAAATTCATGTTATATGTTAACTATTACATTACACCTTTCTGATAGCTCGTTCCCTTATTCATACGTACACTCAGTTTATCTCTGTCGCGCGTCACTTTCGTTCATGTATTCACGTTCACACTTTCGTAAATGGATTAAATTTTTCGTAGAAATATACGTATATTTCTTTATTTCTTCTTCAAACCTTTTCTAATTTATTATCGTTTTGGTTCTTTGTTTCTTTATTTTTTTATTTATCTCCATTTACCACATATCCCTATGAGTTTCTCAACTCTCTATATAGTTTCATTCTTTCTCCTGCTTTCAGTTTCCCGTTCTCTACCTCAAGCTCTCTCAAGCTGAACCTCTCCGAATCGTATCTCTTTCATGCCCTTATACTCACGCAATCTCCCTACACTTTTTCGTTTTTTCTCCTTCCCGCTTTTTTCTGTTTTTCTCACACATTCTCTCACTCATAACAAATCCCTTGCACATTCTCTCTCTCTCTCTCTCTCTCTCTCTCTCTGTTTTCCGCTATAATACTCGCCCGTTCCTCTGTCTCACACCCTCTCCATCTCTCCTGCCCCCCCTCTCTCTCTCTCTCTCTCCCTCTAACACTCCTCTCTCTTTCTCTCTCTCTCTCTCTCTCTCTCTCTCTCTAACACTCCTCTCTCTTTCTCTCTCTGTCTCCTGTTTTCTTGCGCGACGTGTTTATGCTAGAACTTATCCGTTCTTTCTCCTACATTTTCCATCGTGGCGTTTTTCTGTTCCTCGCATTTTGATCGTCGCTCTTTCTTTCCAGCTCTCTGCCCTTTCTGACCTTCTCTCTTTACCCGCTCACTTTACTTTTGCCCTGTATAGTCCGTTCCCTTTTATACTACCTTCCGCTACATCCCTTTCCCTCGTAAACACCAAGTGTGATGTGTAATGAGGCGGGTGCCTGTCGCATGACTCTCGTCTGCGCCCTCATTAAAAGAACATTTCGCTCGGAAGCGGAAGCCCGCCTGCGATGTCCACTGCCCGATGTGTGTGTGTGTTCGCGCGCGCGTTTCGCTCCCCTCCACACGCGCCCCCCACACGTGCGCTAGCGCGTGACGCGTGAGCACGGCACGCATACTCACCTCTTCACCAGCGCATGAAACGCGCCTTTCATTTGCGCATGACGGACGAATAATCACATCGTCCCTTAAGTGTGAACGCCACGTGCGTTTTCGCCTTTCATGAACGTACGACACTCCCCTACTCTCCTCTCATGTTCACACGACACACGAATAAAATTGCCTGCGCATGCCACGTGCTTGCTCGCCTCTTATGAGCGCACGGCATCCGTCTGTCTACTCGCGTGTGCACATACACACACATAATAATAATAATAATAATAATAATAATAATAATAATAATAATAATAATAATAATAATAATACTGCTAAAATAATAATTATTATTAAATTATCCATTATTATCCAGCATATATGACCTAAATGAACCTTGCACGTATTTGCAACTAGAACTCTAGCCAATTTACCCTGCAAAAATATACTGCACATTAGTGATTTTCGTCACTTCTCTGATGGATCCTGTCGTCCTGTTTCAATATTATATGGAGTCGTCCTATTTCAATATTCCAGACTTCTTCAACACAGACCCGAATCTCGCATTATGGCTAGCACTATATGGGGCTTAGTTTTTAACCATCTGTTGTTTTGGAATTCCGGAATGCTTCCGTATTTTGATTTTGTTTGTTTATTTTAGAACATTTGAGAGGGATGCTGATAAATGAGACTTTCTTAATGAAACTCATTAATATAGCCGTCTGTGAAGACTTTGACGATCTTCATTTGACACAGTGCTAGGATTAATTTTTTACTTTACTTCAATCGTGCTGTCCTCTTACAGGAAGTCGACAAATCATACTATTAATGAACTGTGAAATTCAGATTTTTTGAGTCAATACAGCTGATTCTGTGGAATTCGATGATAAAAGAATTTGCGACCTTTGACACTTATCAGTCACTCTCAGTCTGTCTCAGACACTCTCAGTCTGTCTTCTCTCTCTGTCTGGATCTCTTTCTCTCTCTCTCTCTCTCTCTCTCTCTCTCTCTCTCTCTCTCTCTCTCTCTCTCGCTATTTTTTCTCAGTTGCTTCATCTGCACTTTTTCTCTGAATCCCTATTATCTTGCCTGGCTTTTATTTTGTACTTCTCACTCTCTCTTTTCCTTCCATCTCTGCCTCTTTTTCTACCCTACTCTCTGCAATTTGTTTTAATTTCCTTCCCCATTTTCTTTTCTGAGCGGTCCTTACCAATCTTACTACTTCCTGTCTCTCTGTTAATTACTCTCGTTACATTCTTCTTTCTCATTGTTTTTATGTTTCCCTCAGTCTCCCTAAATTCTACTTCTCTTTCACAAAACTGTGATCGTCACCAGCCTTTTCATTCATATGCCCTTATCTCGCTAATCGTGCATGTTCCTACTTTAAGTCTCTCTTCATCTATTTTCTGCCTCTCCCTCCTATTTGTTTCTGCCCCTCTCCAGACTCCCTTCGTACTGCTCCTGTGGCATACTCTCCCATTTCACACTTTATCCTCTATTCTCTTTTTCCCTCTTCAACCCGACGTCCCCACCCAGCACTTTGTCTCGCATCATTCTTCTACACCGTTTTCCTCCTCTTGCTCGCTCGCGGGCGTCAGCGGATGGCGATAGTGTGTTTTGCTCGTCGGCGAGACAATCAGCAGTCGCTGAAGGGCCTGGGGGGGGGAGGGGGGCAGTCGAAGGGATTGTGGGTGGAGGGAGGCAGATGAAGGGGAAGGGATGAAACGTTCGCGATCAAACACTCGCCCAATCAGTGACTCCTTCGCGCGCGCGCGCGCGCGCACACACACACACACACACACACATGACAAAAAATTATTCGGACTACTCGTCCGGGCTGCGGGTATAGTAAAGTCACTCTTAACTCGTCAGTGTAAAATCGAAGACGTCAGGGCTATTAAAACCAAAATTTATTTTAAAAAAACTAAAAAATCTTCTTTTTGGAAAATTTAAATCACATTTTTTTAAAATTTAAATTCGATCTAAATTGAAAGATTCAGGTAAAATATTTAGATTGAAAACAAGACCAAAATATTGTCTTAAACACACGTATTCCTTAAAGAAACAAAAAAAAAAGAACAAGTATTTGAATATTTAAAATCTAATTACGATGATGGTGTAGAACTCTTAACAAAAAGTTTGAAATTTGTATTACTAACAGCTCCTTTTACTGCACCACCTTTAGATCCAATAGTCGTAAAAGAACTCGCATTCATAGACTGATGCCATGAACAACTCATGAATAGTATGCAAGCCATGACAAAACAATTGCAGAAATATAAATGAACATTGTAAAACAAAAGTTATTAGCATCAACATCTTCAGCTAGTACAAGACTTATATTTTCTACATTTGGAGTTGTCCAATCAAAAATTAGAAATCGTCTTGGAAATGCAGCAAAATTATTGAACCTGCATTTATATTGCGAGTAGTAGCCCTGCGTTAGCTGTCAAAGCAGTTCCTTCTTGAAGTAATCTTAGAGTAATACAGTGCGGTGATCGTTATTTATTTTTGGTAATACTGCCCTATTAATGTATCGTCTTAAAGTAACCAATCAGAGGAACGACACCTGTAGGTATAAACGTGGTAGTAGAAAAATGTTTTAAAAAAGTGACCCAGTGCTTTTTTCAAGTATTTGTTACTTTGTTCATTTTTATAAAATTATTGCGGAATATTATTATTTAATTTAGTTCATATGAAATTTTTTTTTCATCGTTCACAGTGTGATAGAAATGGATTCAGTACTGCCAATTATGGTGCATCCAAGAATTACATTTCCCCCTTCCCATTTTAACGTTTCAAACTTGAATTGATCAATACCGGAACCTACATTTCCTTTAATAGTATGTTTGGGTTATTTAGTTATATAGTAACAAATTCTTGGGATGTATGAAAGTTGCAAAATAAGTGTGGATTTTACTGGAAGTTTATTTTGTACGTATGTTGTCTTTGTATGCACGTGTTGTGATGAATTATGATTTGTCAATACTAACAAATGAACTTCTCTTTTTACTGTCAGTTTATTGTATTTTGTAGTTGTGTTGTTTTTTGTAATGCTTTGTACGCATTTGTTGTGAATAAATTTGAGATTTCAAATCATTTCAACAGTTCAATGCATAAAAAATTGTAAGTGTTGTTATTTTTTATATAATTTTTAAAAAATCGTTAAAAACATTTCCTTGTCAACGCTGGGTATTTTTGAGAAAATAGATTGAGAGTGCCAGAGGCAAAGAGTGTGAGAAGAAAAGAGCGATAGCTAGTAGGAGAGAGAGAGAGAGAGAGAGAGAGAGAGAGAGAGAGAGAGAGCGGGAGAGAGAGAGAGATGGAGAGGGGGAGAGAGAGAGAGTTAACGAAAATGTTTGAAATAGCATGTTGTGGCAGGAGAAGTTTGTCGAAATACACGTAGGCCGGTAAAATATCCTTTTTCGCCACCGGAAATGAACTCGTTGAAAGGAATGAGGGTGGGCCTGAAATGATGGCAATTTGCGGCAGCGGAGTTGTTCAAAAGCGGTGAAGTTGTTATACGGCGATGTACTTCTAAAAAAAACTCGTTATTGGTTTTCCCTTCTTGATTTCTTTCAGACCTTTTAATTGTTGAGGGATATTCGCAGTTCACTTTTCTTAGTCGTTGACATTTGAACATCGACTTGTGATTTCAATCAGCGTGGAGATATAAGTGATGTCGGAATGAAAAGCAAAGAATTTCGCTTGCGATACTGTTTTCAATATCTGTGAAATACTGGCAGGTTTGGCAGTTTTCTCCAAGGACAGATGTTCAAATCTGGGAGATGGGACTTATCATTGCATTGGCGAGTGAAACACAGGCCATCTTCACCTACGCAGGGCAGACTGGGTAAATCGAAAGGTCATGGGAAGTAACAGGATAAGTCTCAGAAAGCCTTCCTCGATTAATACGTTAATATCTCGACTTTGGTGAAAGTGTGGCTTATCTCGTTAGAGTTTGTCTTGCTGATATGTAAGAAGGCCTTCTGGCAGTAACATGATGAGACAAACGTCGACAAAAATTGAGATATGAACATTTACGAATTCCAGGAGGTTTTCTGTGACATATATTGACACTACTCTAAGCCATTTAAATCTTATACATGCTCTTGAGGAAAGCTCATTTTTTTACTTTCCCTGTCTCGAACATTTCAATGTACGGTTGTCTTGAATGAGGTACTTAATTATGGATTACTTGTGATCCTGACGAAGGCGAATTTTTACGAGTACTTTCCCAAAAGGGAAGTTCTTTAATTTATCTCTTTTACAAAACCTATTTTGCGCTGTTATTGAATTTATAAAGTTAGATTAATCTGAACAAAAAATAAACGATAATAAAAGCATGTGAACCCAAACAAAACAATTATTATTCTACACTACGTAAGCAGTATGTAAACTCTTTTGTCTGCTTTTGCCGATAGGTTATTCACATTCCTAATCGTGAGCTCTGCCTGAAGTTGAAGACGTAACCGACAAACACGACGTCCTTTCGCTGGGCGCTGCAACAGCGACGCGAATCTTCCGCAGAGAGATATCGTCGAGAATCGATCTCCGACCCTTATCGACCGACGAAACAAAGAAACGGCGCTGTTATTAATTCGACTGTCATTTATCCCGGCAGATTCCGCAATGCCGTCGACGCTTCTCGGCTATCCGTTGTTCCCGCCGCTCCCGCCACCAAAGTTGTGACTACAGCCCCCCACCCTCACCCACCGACAGAACTCGCCCATCTCTGCTTTCGTGACGCCATCGCTGTAGTTTCCCCGACACAGACAAAGCTACACAGTCACGGCGAAACAGACAGTGTCACAAACGGAATGCCACAGACAGTTACGCAGACAACCAGTGAGACTGTCACGTAGAGAAGTGATACAGACAGGCACACACACTGTCGCAGAGACACAGCGTCGACGTCAGCATAAACACTGCGAATCAGATACGGCGATTCAAGCTCGGTGATTCACGCAGAGCGATTGAGACACGGAGATACGGACGTAGCGATTCAGACACTGCAATTCAGACATGTGTTTCAGGCAGAGGTGTTTGTCCACGGCGATTGAGACGCGGTGTTATAGACGTAGTGATTGAGACACTGATTGATCCACTGCGATTCAGACACGGTGATTCAGATACGCGATTTAGGCACCGCGATTCAGAAATGGTGATTCAAAACGGCGATTCAGGCACGCCAATTCAGACGCGGCATATCATTCGCGGTGATTCACACACAATGAGACAGACACCCTGATTCAAACTCACCAATTCAGGCACTGATTTAGACGAACTGATTCAGTGGTTGTCGTTCAGTGATTTAGACACAACGATTCAGATAGTAATTCAGACAGTAATTCAGACCCGGCAATTCATGCACGGTCATTCAGTCACGGGCATTCAGTCACGGGCATTCAGTCACGGGCATTCAGTCACGGGCATTCAGACACGGTGATTCAGACACTGCGATTCAGATATGTGAGTCAGGCAGAGGTATTTGTTCACGGCAATTGAGACGCGGTGTTACAGACGTAACGATTGAGCCACCGCGATTCAGACACGGCGATTCAGATATGCGATTTAGACACCGCGGTTCAGAAATCTTGATTCAAAACGATTCAGCGATTCAGGCACGCTGCGATTCAGACGCGGTAAATCATTCGCGGTTATTCACTCACAGTGAGACCGACACTGATTCAAACTCACCGATTCAGACACTGATTTAGACGAAGTGTTTCAGTGATTATGATTTGGTGATTTAGGCACAACGATTCAGATAGTAATTCAGACCCGGCAATTCCTATACGGTCATTCAGTCACGGCGATTCATATATAGTGTCTCAGTCAGAGGAATGTATTCACGACGATTCAGAGACAGGGAAACAGATGTGTCACCGCCAAGAGCACGATCCGCATGGTGCGATTTAGGGGCAGCGTTTCTTCTTATTTACGTTTTGTGTACGCTCAGCGCGAGTTGGTGGAACTTCGCCCCCACTGTGCAACCCCATCTACCCCCACCCCGGACGCCCGGCGCCCGTCAACTGTTTCTGCGCGCGATCGCTGGGCCACGATTCACCGAGGATAATACCCTTCGGGAGAACAAAGACCGCGAGGAATCTCTGTAACAACACGAGAACACCATTTCGGCGCTATGGTCGTTTGTTTCAGAAAAGCGAAAGCTATTCTCGTTGTAGAAATGGTCTGAAGAATGTTGCTGAGCGATTGGTGTTTTGAATTCACCCCGGATGTCACAATTCGACAACAATTATTATAAAATGACTACTTTAAATCAATATGTCACATGTGATACACAACAGAAACGTTTAGGAAATTCATTATTTCAATCTTCACGCTCTTCCGAAACATGTGTCACATATTCATACAAGGCAGGTATTTTATAATCATTTTTTGTCTTTAAAATAAGGTCCAAATACAGTCTGACTAATTTGAAAAGAGAGCAAAATAAATAATAATCTTGTTTCTACAACACCATTTTATTTCTACATTTAAATATTAATTCGCTATATGAATACTTTAAACATTTGTTATTATAGCCTGTCTTCTGTTCATGACACTTCTGTGTTGATCTGAGATGGGAATATTCCCGTACATTTATATTAAAATATCAAAACCCCTGACAGACAAAAATGCTGAAAAAGTAATGTACTAACAAAAAAAAGGGTCACTATTCGGAGTGGCACTGACAGGCATGTACCAATACCAGTACCAATAGAAGAGTTTTATTTGGTTTGTATTTTTTCTGTTACTAATGTAGTTAGGGGTTGTCATCAGTTTTGATGAGCTTAAAAATCATCACTTTTCAGTGAAGGCTAAACAAATAAAAAATACCATGATGAAGTGTGTTTAAAAGTATGTTTTTATCAATTTGTATTCTAAATTGGTGACACGTCATACAATGTCAGTCCGCTACAATATAGGGAAGGAAACCAACATCTATAAATGTTTTGGTACTGTTCGGTACCTAATGAATGAAATATGAAGCAATGGATTATTATTTTTACGAAACTTTAAATTTTCTTATGTGACTACGGTACGTGAAAAAGGTTTTACTAAAGTCTCAACAGGAAATTACAGCCTCATACAAATATTGCATGGGAAGAAATATAGTTATAAAAATTTCGTTTCATACGCTCATGAGAAAGGGTATTTGATAAATGTGTGCCCCTCTGCTACCTTCCTTAATGCATTTGTTTTATTTACAATTTTTAGAATGATTTGAAAACAGTTATTGTAATTATTTACAAACTGTTATTTATATTATTTCAATGTTGTCGCATATAATCGTCCTCGTAATGAAGTTTTTTATTCATCACTAGCATAGTCTTCTGAAGACTATGATGAATTAAATTACAAATTTTAAAAATAGTATTTTAAAATTTTCATAGTTCCAGGTATTCGATTGTTGCGAGATTTCTTTTTAGAAATAAATACGCAGGCTTGGATGCCCTTAAATTTCAAATTTAATATTTTTTGAATTCTTGTTTACCATTCTTTAACATGAAATATGACACGGTTTACGATAATTCTGAACAGTCCTACTCAATCTGCTTTGGTATTTGTAGTTGGAGCTTGGGCAACAGTTAATTTGGTGTATTGAACAAACGCTTGAAAGGTTATTGAATAAAGCTATTTAAAAAAAGGTGTGATGTGCTTTAATGTGAATATTTGACGATATGCGGCAACACCACAATTTCTTTTAAACCCGATATTCCCGATACGTCAACATTTTTACGTGCATCTCATTTTTTTTATTATAATTCTTAATTTCACACTCCCAGTCCATTCAGATTGATTCTTCTTTTTTTTCACCTCTCCTCTTTTCACTTCGTTTTTCGGAAGGGGGACACCACCCTCTTGTCATCCTCCTCCCCACCCCCCACGTTAATTTCCTCCCGACACGCAGCTCCAATCAGTTGACGCGTTTCAGGCGCTGGTGCTGCGCTCTGACGGCGGCGGGGCGAGAGTGGCCCCAGCCCGGGGGCTGACAAGCGCCGCGCGCCGCGCGCGGAAATTGGGCGTGAAGATCTGTCGCCTTCCGGTAGATGCCTCTCTTTGGGAACTTCGCGCGATGGCCGGCGACGTCGCCGGCATCGCACACGCTCCACGGAAGAGTCTAGGAAGCGGGAATTGGCGGGAAATGAAGCGCCGCCATTGTACTGGGATTCCAACGGGTTATTACCTCAACGCCGACCGTGGTTGTTTTGAACGGACTAGAGTACCCGTACGTTCTCAGTAACGGCGTGAAGAGATTTCGTCACCTTTCAATTGCTAAAGCTTATCTGACCACGTCTTTAACATGCTAAAATATGAACTGATTGAATTTCCTTGCTTTACAAAGTTCAAAGGGATTGTTATTTGTGCTTCAAGCTGACGAAGAAGAATTGCTTTCAAGTTACTTGCCTGTGTCGTTTCTGTGTTACTTCTGCTCTTCTCCGTAATTGCTTCAATAGTCACTCTACAAATAACTACCAGTCTGTAACGTTTCCTTCTCTTTCTTGGAGTTAAAATTTAATGAAGCGTCCACCAAGATTTAAATGAAACTTAAACGACTCGGTGAAATGTTGACTTACGAAAGACAGGAAAATTCTGGAACAACTTTCAAAACTTGAGTGATACTCGGGTGTTCGAACGACAGTATATTAGAAGAAAGCTCGTTAAAGGAAGTTTGTGAATGCTTGCTTACGATAAGAATCTGAAGTTCGACTGCTGATTCGATCCCAGATCTCGACCTCTGAAGCGGCACGTCGCCACAGCGATGGCCTTCCTGCGTCCACGGGCGTCCGCGGTAGGGCGGTGACACCACCGTGCTCAGAAAGCGGCGGGCGAACCACCTCTCGCCATGTTGGCGTGTGTGTGTTCGCCCGGCGAGGCGGCGCGCCCGTTCACCCCCGGCCCCGGCCCGACCGCCTCCAAGCGGCCCAGCACGCCCCCGGGCCGCCCCCGCGACCGCCGGCGCCGCCGCCAGCGGGTCTTCCCGGCCGACTCCCGCCCGCCGCCTCCGCGGCCCGGACGAGTCACGCTTATCGCCGACCACGTCTCCAAAAACCCGCCTTCAAAAGAAAGAATCGCCGGCGAACGAGTGGTCGAAGAACGAGTCTGTGAACGAAACGTTGGTGAACGGGTCACTGAACGAATCACCGGCGAACGACTAGTCGTCAAATGGGACAGTGAACGGATTATCGATGAGCGGGTTGGTGAACTGATTTGCAGCGAACGGGTCGGCGAACGAATAATCGATGAGCGGGTCGGTAAACGAATCTCTAATCAGGTCAGCGATCGAAACAGCTCTCCCCGAGAGAACCTACGCATGGCAGAGGAACCTGTTAACGAAAGAGTAACTGATGAAAGGGTCGATGATCGATTCGCGAATCAACGGGTTAGTGAAAGGACAAGTCGCGAATTGGTGGGTGAACGAATCAGCAACTATCATATCAACAAACGTATCTATTTTGAAGCGAACGATCGTGTTAGTGATGTACGACTTGATGAAAATGGGGTTAATCGTGCGAATGAAAATCTAGGAACTAAAGACTCAACTGAGCAAAAGAGGGAGGTTAGTGGTCGTAAACAATTAGTGACTGATCAGAAACAATGTAACATAACTGTAGATTATGAATCTCTTTCGACCGAAAAGGATTCAAAGGACCAGATTCTTACAGACAGTGATGCAGTCTGCACAAATGGGCATTTTGTGAATGACATTGAAACTGAAAGAAGATTCATAGATCCACAGCTTGGTGAAGGGGCAATTGGAGCGATTCAATTTGAAGAAATGAGAGAAGAACGATTTCCTTCCCTTAAAATGTATCGACCAGTACGTTTTCAGGGAGGTAAATCAACACCTACAATTGGCGAAGGTGGTAAAACAGATACCTTGTTCAATTGGACTGAAAATGAGCAGTTGCCCACTGGAGATGTTGAGCAGAAAATGGAAAATAAAGAAAGTTGGATGGGGACGAAGTCAGAAATGCACATTTTGCAGAAGGGGGCATCTTTAGAGACTGAAGCAATGCAGGAACACAATGAGACTGAAAACAAAATGACTGATACAATACCAACAAAAGGGGACCAAAGAGGCCTTGGGACTGAGAAAAAAGGAGGTACGAAAATGCAGACTAAGGTAGGAAATGGGTTTTACGGTCCATTGAGTTCACACGGGACGCACTGCACGGTTACAAATGTGAAGCAACGAGAGATGATTTTTACATCCAAGTATAACGAATTCCGAATTTCCTCCAAAAAACGAAAAGGAAGGACGAAAAGAACTTCTTCGGTTGAGGTGACGCAAGCTGACCTCAGCGAATCCACCGCTGCCCCAGCGAAGGGTATTTTTCAGGACGATAAAACCAATTCCAGAACGAATGTTCAAGAAATGACCAATAATTTATTAAACGAAATGAAATGTGAAGTGGGAAACGCGTCTGTGAAAACGGACGTTCATAAACCGGCCATTCTTTCATTGAACGAGATGAAAAGCGAAACATCCGCGAGAACGATCGTTCAGGAATCGACCACTCGTTCATCGAATCTGACCGAAAGCGAAATCAACTCGAGAACGATTGTCCGTCAACTGACTACCGGTTTACGTGACAAGACAAAAGCGGACACGCACAGCAGACCGAACGAACCGAACACTCGGTCCACCGCGACGGGAACCGTCTGGGGAACGGATCTGTCGCCTGGAACGTATCACGTGGTGCCTTGCGGGGGCCCGGCGCCCGTCCATCGTCCGCGGAGGGGCGCCTCCTTGCCCGTGGCAGTCGGCGCAGCGCCCGCGGCGCGCAGAGCGTGGGACGCCGGCCCGAGCGGAACGGGTCACGGCGACTCGGAAGGCAAAGCAAGAAACTTGGCGAGTTCTGAAGCTAATCGGGTCAGTACAAACAATTCTGTGTCTGGCCTACAGAAATCGGTGCAGTCGGCCACTAAAATAGCGATTAATGAATGTATTTCTGGAGAATGCGTAATGGATGGAACCAGAGAGAACGATTCAACTCAGAACCGAGTATCCCACAATGATTCTTGTGCGAGTCAGACAGTCGAAACGCAACGGTACGTTTCAAATATGAATGGCAGTCTGTCTGAACATGGCAATGTAACACCATCGAATGAATCAACTACGAGTGAATCCCCTGCTAATATATCACCCGTTGAAAACTCTCCGTTGAACGGGAGGTCCCTAAGTTATACACATTCGAACTGCCTTGATGTTCACGTAGTTTCTACTTCTGAATCGACTGATAATGTATTAAAAATGAACGAACGCACATTTCTCTCTCCGGCTGTAATGCAGTCTTTGAAGCTGTCTGCTACAGTTAACGAATCTTCGGGATTGGGCTCATCGATGAACAACTCGCCACGAGAGAGAGCTGACCCGGACTTCGTGGTTCCGGCTTTAGAAAACGAGTCCACCGGCTTTGGGTCGGTTTGCGAGGCGAGGACCGTTCCTGAGTCGGTCTCGTGCGAGACCCGTTCTGTGGAAGAGCAGCGAGGGAGTCCCGAAAGCCTTGTACCCGAAACCCCGCTGGCGCCCGCGGTCGCCAAGCCAGGCGACGAAGAAGACCGCGCCGTGCCGGAGGTGAACGGGTCCAGAGGCGGCTGGCGAGGCCGGCGTCTGACGGGCGCGGACGCCCAACAGCTGCTGCAGCTGCTCCAGGCCCTGAACGCCCGACGAGCGGGCGTGGCTCGTGTCCGACACGCGCTCGCCAACGCAGGTGTCCCGACTCCGCCGTCGCCCCAGCGCCTCGCCGTACGTGACCGACCGACGTCTCGGCGAAGAACGAATCACCCCTTCGGACCCGTTCGCATAGGAACGAATCACCTCGGACCCGTTCATCCGGGAACGAACGGACTCGGCGGACTCGTTCTTTTCGGAACCAATCAGCGCGGGCCCGTTCGGAGAAGGGCGACCCGTGCCGGACCCGTTCGGGAGTGGAGTAGCAGCAGCAGTAGCTCTGATACGGGCGTGTCCAGCGACGGCGGGGAGGAGGAAGAGGAGGGGGTGGCTGGATGTGGAGGGGAGTCGGGTTCCCCGCCGCTGCGGGCGCTGCCATGGCGGGGCGTGCGGGGCGGCACCTGGCCCGCTAGACGGCAGCGACCGGCCCGGCGCTCGCAGACGGCGGAGCGAACCGGCTACGGGGATGTGGAACGAATCGCCAACTGGAGATGGGAACCCGTTCGCGACGCTAAGTCTGACGCGTCGATTGGCGACAGGCTGAGCGATACGTCGACGTTTAGTGAGCGCAGTTCCAGATGTCGACGGATGAGTGTTGATGAAGGCGATCGCATCCTTAATGTTAGAGAGAGTCATGCAAAAGCAAGGATTTATCTTCCGTGGGTTTTCGAAGAGAATCTTCCTACTCCGTTATCGGAGAGAACCAACAATAATGAGAAGGCGTTTAAAGACGGTAATAGACGGAAAATTAGTTCCGAAAAATCATATGTCGAGAGCAACGGGGAGGATGGAAAATCTAAGGGGATGGGCTGTTACGGAAGCGACCCTCAGATGACCGCTTATTTCATGACAAATGACACGTACAGACGAAAAAGCGAGTTAACACGAGGTCAGAGCTATGGTGCACGAATAAAAAGTGTGAGTGATTCAAGTATTTGCCTTGATACATCAGGTGGTGATGGCGTGGAGTTTGATACAAATGACGCCTCTAGGATGAGTGTAATTAGAAAGCGAAACCTCGAATCATCTTCTAACAAAATAAGTGTCCTTGGGACTAAAAGTAGGTCTCTCAGAAAGCAAATTGGGAAAACCAATGTTAGTAAAATGGGTGACCCTGGAGAAGAGTTGATTGAGTTACCACTGAAAAGAGAGCTTAATGGAACGGAGGTTTGTGAAAAGAGTCTTCGAGGCACCGATCAGGAGAATATGGCTGGCAATGAAACTGAATCTAGTATTAGTAATGAAAGAAAGATTGTAAAAAAGAGTAAATTTCTTAATCAGAAAGTTGTGAACGAACCTGACAAGCAAGAAACAAATGGGAAGGTGTGCCAAAAAGGAATAAATGACCATCTTTCGGACCTCGTTGAAAGGAAAATTTTCCGAAAAGACAACGGAGCAGCAAGAGATGGCATCGGATGCCTTGATAAAACTAATGACGGCGATAGAATTCGTGTTCGAAGGAACGTTTTGAGAAGAAACCTCGAAGGTACAAATTATCGACGGATCTGTCCCGAAGGCACGAATGATCTTTCATCCGTTATTGAAGAGACAGAAAGAATGAGTCT